CTTTAGTATTTCTCCATCCATGTATTTAAAAGCAATTCTGAAGTTAGAAAGTGTAGCATAGGCTCCTCACACAGTGTTCTTAATGTGGTCCTCAGGTGACAGTTTTCTATCTAGAACCACCCCTAGATCCCTTTCTTTGTCAGAATTCTTTAAAGATTTCTCTCATAATTTATAGGTAGTGTGGGGTCTATGTTCTCCAATTCCACATTCCATAACATGGCATTTATTCACATTAAATTCCATTTGCCAAGTATTCCTCTATATACTTATTTTGTCCAGAGGCCAGATTCACGAAGCAGTTACACAAGCCCGTACGAACCTATACATCTTTTCTCAATCTTTGGCGGCTTTGTTTACAATTATTAAACAGTTAATGAGCTCTGAAGCACCAGGAGGCTGTATATAACAATAACAACAGTTGTTTGGGAAGTTTTCATGCTTGTAAACTGTTTAATAAATGTAACCAAAGCCGTCAAAGATTGAGGAAAGATGTACACGTTCATAAGTGCTTGCGTAACTGCTTCGTGAATCTGGCCTCAGGTCTTCTTCAAGGGCATGACAATCATCTAGGTTTCTTATCTTCCCTATTATCTTAGCATCATCAGCAAACATGTTCATATAATTCTGTATTCCAACTGAACTGAACCCTGTGGTACTCTGCTTGTGACATTCCTTCAATCCGATACATTGCCTCTGATTATGGCCCTCATTTTTCTGTCAGTTAGGAAATTTTTCTAACACCCATGTTAGAAGCTTACCTGTCACCCCTCTAATATGTTCCAGTTTCCAGAACTACCTCTTATGTGGAAGAGGTCAAAAGCCTTTTTTAAATCCAGATAGATGCAGTCAACCCAACCATCTCTTTCCTGTAAAATCTCTGTGGCTCGTTCATAGAAACTGAGTAAATTCGTTACACAGGATCTTCCAGATCGAAAACCATACTGTCTGTCTGATATTATATCTTTTTCTGCAAGTGTTCTACCCATTAATTTTAATTATTTTTTTCCGATATTTTGACTATTACACTTGTCAATGATACAGGTCTATAACTGAGGGGTCTTCCCTGTTGCCACTTTTGTAGATTGGAACTACAGTATATTAGCCTTTTTCCACACATCAGCTACAACTCCTGTACACAGGAATGCCTGAAAACCCAGTTGACGTGGAATGCTGAGCTCAGGTGCACATTCTCTCAGAACCCATGGTGAAACTCCATCTGACCAACAGCTTTGTTCTTACTTAGCTCCTTAAGCATTTTTTCCACTTCGTCTCTTGACACCTCTATGTGCTCTATGTTGTTCTCTGGAATTCTTATTGTGCCTGGTTCCCTGAAGATTTCATTTTGTACAAACACACTTTGGAACTTTTTGTTTAATGTTTCACACATTTCCTTTTCATTTTTCGTGAATCTATTTCCCATTTTCAACCTCCGAATATTATCCTTTACCTGCAATTTTTTGTTTATGAATTTATAGAATAGACCTGGTTCTGTTTTACATTTCTCCGCAATCCCTTTTTCAAAATTTCTTTCTGCCTCTCTCCTCACTGCCGTGTAGTTGTTTCTCGCATCTTTGTATCGCTGGTATGTTTGGGGGTTTGGTCTCTCCCTATATTGATTCTATTTTTGTGTCATTTAGTCTCTGGCCCTATCGCAATTTCTGTCGAACCAATCCTGTTTCCTAGTTCTGCATCTCTGCTTTGGTATAAATTTTTTGTGTCTTTATCATATACTGTACAGTATTTCACAAAACTTGACATACATCTCATTTACTTTATGTCCTAACAGTAAGTCTTTCCAGTCAAATTCCTTAAAGAAATGTCTGAGTTCCCCATAATGACCTCTCCTGAAATCAGGTTTTTTAACTGCTTCAACCTCATTTTCTTCCAGATTATAACACATTGTATACTTTATTCCTAAAAAGACATGGTCACTTTTACCCAAGGGCGGGAGGTACTCAATGTCAAATATCTCTTCCTCTTTCCTGGTAAATATCAAATCCAGCATGGAGGGAACATCCCCTTCCCTCATCCTCGTAGCTTCTTTAACATGTTGAAACATGAATGTTTCAAGGTTTACGAATCTACAATTCCAAAAATCCTCTGTTCTAGCTTCATATGCCTCCTAGTCTATGGATTTCAAGTTGGTGTCGCCAACTACCAACAGTCATGATCTATCTTTATCAGTTCTCGCTATAATCTCTCTTTCATTATTGTTATAAGCCCTTCTCATTTATTATCCAGCTCCTCCTTTGACCATGTGTTGCATGGCGGTGGACTATATGCATTTATGATCGTTATTTTATCATCCTATCATTTAGAGGAGCCGGTCGGCCGAGCGGACAGCACGCTGGACTTGTAATCCTGTGGTCCTGGGTTCGATCCCAGGCGCCGGCGAGAAACAATGGGCAGAGTTTCTTTCACCCTATGCCCCTGTTACCTAGCAGTAAAATAGGTACCTGGGTGTTAGTCAGCTGTCACGGGCTGCTTCCTGGGGGTGGAGGCCTGGTCGAGGACCGGGCCGCGGGGACACTAAAAAAAAAAAGCCCCAAAATCATCTCAAGATAACCTCCTGATTGCAGATCTCTTAGTGCTATTATGTCAACTTCTGGTGGATTAGCAATCATTATTTCATTTACCTTTAGGTGTTCTTTCACCAGCACAGCAACGCCATCGCCTTTCCTAATTTTTCTGTTCCATCTCCAAACTGAGTAGCCCCTTGGGAATATGACCTCATTTAAAATATCATCTGCAAGTTTTGTCTCCGTGAGTACAACAACATTTGATGTCTGCAGCTGTATCACATCACTTAACTCCAGTATCGTTGATTTCACTCCATCTATGTTGGTGTATGCAATTTTCAGGAACATGTCTCCCTCTCCTTCTTCACTACCCTTTTCATGATTTCATTGGTTTGCCTTTTTGTACCATTTTACTGGTCAGCCTACCCCTATCACTTTGTAGAAAAAAGAATTGATTTCTTCTTCATTCCTGATCTCATTTAGACGTTTTGCATCGACGAGATTCAGTTTTAGATTCTCCCTATCTTCTTTTGAAAGATCTCGTCTTAATGACTATACTTTCCCTTCCTCATCACTTTGTAATTTTCTAGCATTCCTTAGTACTTCTTCCATCTGTTAGGCACCGTTTAGGGTGATCCTCAAAGGTCGATCTTTCCCTTTTACTTTTCCCTTTCCAGTCCTCCTGTAGTCACAGACATTCTCTATGGTAGTAAGACCTTTCACGAGGCCAACAATTTTATCTACTACTTTCTCTTCTTCTACAGCTCTTTCTGACCTAGATGTTATCTCCTTTTCTTTGCAACCAAAAATTATCAGACTTACTTCGATCAACTGTGTTTTGCACCAATTTAGGATTTGATGCCAGTTCCTTTCTGACTTCCAGCCTAATGTTTGTTTTATCCTGGTTACTGCCATGTTTGGCTTCCTTTACCGCTTCTTCTATTTTTTCCTTCTCCTTGGCCACTTGTGCATAGGTGAGTTGCATATCTTTCTTGCACTGTTCTATTCCCTGTGTAACTTCTGCCATCTGTACTGACAAAATCTGTTTTTCCTGTTGAATTTCCTTACCTGACCTATCATAGTCATTTAAGTTTAAATTTGCTTTAACTTCTTCCAAAGCTATTTTTAAGAGTTTATTTTTGTGGCCAGCTGTAAAGGTGCAATACAAGGAACATAAGCGGACCAAGGGTGAGTATGATGCCACAGCCACCCCCCACCTCCCCCCCAGGAGTAGTGAGGAGTATATGGAATGGTCATAAGAATTCATAAGGAAAGCTGTTCACACAGGTGATACAGTAGTAGCCACCACAACAGACAATTCTGGGAAGATGGAGGAAAGGGACGAATAGGGTGATCAAGAGATAGAGCCAAGTCAGAGGGCTTACTCCAAGGAGACGAAGGAGAACAACTTCCAAAAGGGCTCAACTCATTGGCCTGGTCACAAGTCACACAATTGTTGTAAGTTGAGAAATTAGTAAGCATAAGATAAAGATATCACGTCATTTCCCTGGACCCCCACCCACCATGGAGCCCAACAAGGGGAAGCATAAAACCCTAAGGAACTCCGGGGCAAATATAACTGCAGGTATCCAGCAGAAAGCGAGTAGGAATCAAAGGACCTATAGGGATTCGATCTCTCCAATGCTCACTTGACCTAGTCCATCTGGGCCCATTACCTACTCGATACACTTGGGCCCAATGAACTTTTTGTTTTACCGTATTTTTTTACTAAAGAGGTGTGTTACCTCTGAGGAGCCACAGCCTCTGAGGAGGGTCAACCTCCAGATAAGGGAAAAAGGGAAATGTATGAGTCTCCACATATGGCAAACACATGATGGCAAAGCCACAGCCAGCTTTGGTTCTTCCACCCCAGTAGGCAACCAAAGGAGCTTGCCAATAGAGCTTACTGGCTCTATTAATCACTGAACTGTGCCCATTTATAGCTGACATCTCCCCATGTGCAAGAAAAAATTAAGTACAATTTTTTCTAATATTGTTAAAATGTTTTTCCCACATCAAGGTATAAAGGAAAAAAATACATTACTTACTTTGGTCGCAGTAAAGCACGGAAATATCGCAGTGATGTCACATTTCAAAAAGCTCATGAAGGGCAGTCGCCCCAGCACCACCGTGGGGCAGGAATTGCCATGAAGATATTTTTAGATATTTATTTCAATGTCTCTGAAATATTGCAGTAATATTCAATAGTGTGTCATTTGGGAAATATATAAAATAAAATGTGTGGAACACTAAAATACTCAAATATACTTGTCACTATAATATGCTCAGAACAATAAAACATGCTGGCTTTGCCGTTACTACACTGTATACACACATTATACATATAAATATCCACATTCATTTTCATGCACCATTATGAACCACTAAGCAGTTCTGGCGAGTGTAATAATCTTGTAACCAGTTACAGTATTAGAGTTCAGCCTAGCTCTACATACTTTGCACAAAACTGTAACTGCATGCATTGAATATATTGTATTTTTATTTCCTATGTTTTTACCATTTTTTTCAAGTACAATGATGCACCAGAATGTTACTTGTATCAAAGGATGTGGAGAATATAGGGATGCTGATATATTCATGTCACTAATGAGTTCATTATTATATTCTTTGAGCAACTTTCCCCAGTTTTTGCTGTTATTATACTATATACTGTACAAACGTTACAACTGTCTACAATTTTGTGCACTATAATGAACCACTTAGCAGTTCTGGTGGGGCGTGGTAATAAAATTCAAATGCAGCATAGTGCTACTCGGCAGATAACGCCATCCAACTCTGCAAAATGTCTTCCAATATCTACACACCTTGCTAACTGTAGCCACAATACAGCTATCATCAGAATCCTGGTCACCAAATCATGAACATCAATCATTTTCCACAAGTTTATTTTCTAAAGGAACACGAAGTCCCATTTCACGATGCACAAAACTGTAGCAGTGTGCTGTGAACGACTGCCTAGCACTGTGATCATCATAACTAGCATTGTGTTCACTGACATTTGAACCAAGTACATTGTCTTTATCAGTCAGGATTTCCCATGGCATTACCATTGTAAAATAATCAGTTATTTATTTCATCATTATTAAATGGTAAGGCAGTGTGTCGGCTGTTGCAGCATGCACTGTTATCCTCTCACTCCTGTGGCTCTCACAAGAAGGGTGCCCATGATTTTTTTTCAAGATGCTGTCTGTTTATTGGAGGCCTGAGGAACCAAATGTGAGCCCATGTGCACAGGAATTTCTTACTTTGTACTTTGACAAAGTAACAGACCAGAGACAAAGGGGTGTGACTGGACATCAGAGACAATGAGAGCTAGAGATGATGGGATGTGATGGGGGCCAGAGATGATAAGCTGTCAAATATTAAAAAATCTGACTACTGTAGTAGATATATTTCATGATCTACAGTTCACCCTTTTTATTACTATTCACTTATATGAATTGTATTTTAATTAACAGTTGTGCATATTTATACATATTTCTACAAGTTTACACACTGTACTTCTCAGTCATTTCCCTATATACCAGATAGGTGTACTATACAATATATAAACATTGAGGCAAGAGAACACAGTATGGCACTCCCTACAACCTTGCTAGTTTTCTTCCTTGGGTTGGATAATAACACTATGAACATCTGGAAGGTTATAGATTCTCTCAAATATATCAGTTTTGCCCCTAAAGTGACCACTAAACTAATCCCTTTTCAAATTAAGGGAACACCATATCACATGAGAAATGCACTTAGTAAGATAAAAAAAAATTGAATGAAGACTACTGTGTCTGCCACGACAAGTCTACATGTGCAGGCTGGTTGTCCCTTATGCCTGTCTCTCCCTACCAAAATTATTGGCAAGGTCTTCAGTAGTCATTCATAGTATAATGTGTAATTATCACAAGAAGTGCCATCATTCAAAGTAACATTCTTCCCTTAGTTCTACATGTTAAATACAATAGCAGTAGAAGTATAAAGAGTACCTTGCATGAAATCGTTACAAACTACTGACATGTTAACATTTGAAACTAAATGTAAAAAAAAAGAATTGATATATGAATATGAAGAAAATTTGACTTACACATTAACTAAGCTATACTACACATGCCTATAAAGATCATTCTCTAATACCAGCAGCCATCAGTGTCTAAGATTAAAGAGGTCAACAAGATGCACATATAAGGTAACCTTGTAGATATGACAACCTAAGACATTCTCTACTGGATTGTATTACCTCCTTGTTAACATGTAATGACATAATAATGTTTATGTTTAGTGTATCTCACTTTATCCCATTGAATGAAATGTTCAAATGCATAAAATCCATTATCATTACTAAAGAAAAATACAATCTCACTTCATCATCTTTAAGCCCTATTCTTATCATCCATATCTATACATTTACTGTATTACTGTCATCCTTCTATTTACGTCCTTCTTATTTATATCATTTCTATTGTCTAATGACATTTTACAAACTCTTTTTGATTTAGAGCCTTATTTTTTTCAATATAAACATTCAACAAAATAAGAATTGATTTACATCCTTATTTTCTCAATATGAACATGCAAATTTTAATGAAAAACAATTGCTTTTTTCCATCTGCTTTCATAACAATGAGACCTACGAGGCACGATGTGCTTTACATGTCCTCCTTCAGTGTTAATGTTGCCATTGTAGATATATCCACCAATGCTGTACACATTTATTCTACATTTACAGCTGAAGAATGTTAGCAACATCCAGCAAACATGAAGAGTAGAAAGCTTCCATCAAATGATAATGGTGCCTCAGAACCAAACAAAGCCAGGAAAACCATCAGTTTGAGGTGAAAATGCAACTGTTAAATAAGTCTAGTGCTCCAGAATGGCCCCTCACATATTGCCTCCGCTCCTGGCCCACGACCCACAACTGCAAGAACAATTAATAAGAATACTGGCAGATACTTAGCAAGTGCTAAATGTGTGACCCCATTAGGAGCTGCAAAAGCTATGAAAACAGACATTCAGTTTCAGACAAATTTTGAAATTGTTAACCATTTGGTTTCAAGTTCATATAGACAGTAACGTGCCTGTCAGCTTGTTGATAAAGCAAAGATCATGGTTACTAAATGACCATGGACTTTATGGAAAAGCATGGTGAGAGTTCAATGTTACTGAATTTCACAGTAAGCATTGGGTGGTATGAGCAATTTAAGCATCATTGTTCCTTGCATAACAAAGATAACTGGTGAAGCTGTGAATGCAGACAAGGAAGCAGCCAAACAATAGCCTCTGATATTGAAAGAAATCTAAGAAGTTGACTAGATTCCCAATCAAATCTACAACCTGTAAGGAACAGGCTTAAATTGGAACCGAATGTCAGGGAGAACACACATTTCTAGGAAAGGTGGCGGCTCCAAGCTTCAAAGCTGTCAAAGATTGCCTGACACTAATGCTGGGAGGAAGTGCAGTGTCTCAAGCCATTATTGATTTATTATTCACAAAATCCAATAGCTTTGAAGGGCTATTCCAAGAATAATTTTTATGGAGGATTATTTTCCCAAACACAATCTCAAGCTGTACCGATCGTGGATAATGCACCTGGCCATTCCACATTGATGATCTTCTATACCTTGACGATCACAGGGCAATGGAGAAGTTGTGTGTTTTTGCCACCAAACAAAACAACTTATGGGCCAAGGTGTTAGAAAAGCATTCAAAGGTTGCTGCACTTTAATAATAATCCAGCTCAACAGTGTAATAGACTCTAGACAAGCTATTTCAGAACAACTATAACATCAGGATGGCTATCAGGAACATTAGAGCAGCATCAAACACAGGTGACTGAATGTAGTGTGAAAAACTCTAGGTTTAGTGTTGCAATAAATTTAGGGGTTTTACACAATGGCAAACATTATTCATGATATTGCTGAGGTTGCTCAAAACACTGAATTTGATGAAGTTAATTAAGAAGAAGTGACTAGAATGCTTGACTACCATCAAAGAGCCCTCTTTAATGGGAGAAGATTTGCTTCTCCCGGAACAGCAATGAAAAGATGAAGGAATGGATAAAATAATGTTGAGATTAAAGTCCCAAATCAATTGTCACCCCAAATAAATACCCGAGGCATTTAAACTTTTTATGCAGTTGCACAAATAAATATTGATGGAGGCTGACCCAATATTGGAACAAAACGGTGAATTTAAAACAGCATAAAATTCTCTTGGTCCCCTACCGAGAGAGTTTAAACAGGAAAAAGGCAGGGGGTTAAGAAGGGGTTGTCCAGATGTCTCAAGATCAATTTTTAAAACTGGATGAGAACAAATCACCAGAAATGAAAAGGCAGAGTCCTGCCTCTAAAGAACTCTTCAAGTATCAGTCACTTCTTATCAAGCCTTAACACATGCTTGCCACTGCTATCTCTGCTACAATTGTATTTTTATTAGTAATGTTGTTGTTTTTATTTTATGCTTTTTTCTGGATATTTGTTTTTTATGAGGAACATATTCCCATTGATTATTATGACGAAAAAAAAAAGCATTGAATGTAATGAAGCGCCTTTTTCTGGGCGAGACCCGGAGGTTCCCGGCAACTCTGGGAAGCCAAAGGGGCTCCCCCCAGAAAAAGTTTTCAATTGATGCCGTTTCAATTTAAGTTCATATTAACAGGAACATAGCCCAGACGTAAATATAGGGATTACAGTATTCATTCATGATCAGTTAGCATGGCAGCAAGCATACCTCACAAATTAAAATAAAAAGGGAAACTTAAATCTGCCATATGTGTTGATGAATAACATTTAGAACCCGGCAGGATTAATAACAGTGGACTTTAGCCGAGGGACCAGAGAGAGACTCCGAGCATATCACAGACTAGGTTGGCCCCGACCTGAGCATATCAGGCTGAAAGGCTCCATTGCAGTAGGCTAATGTAGGCTAATAACGTCTAGCGTACTCTACAAGATCTCAAATATCACTGCAACTGTTACAACTGAGGACTTCAACGTAGTGTGGCTCGACATATAAAATTTGCCATACAACTAAATAAGAGGACTAGATACTTCTAGAAAGAATAAACACAAAACATTTATGCTTCATTAACAAAAACATTTCCTATTTACAAAAAGGTTATTGCAATAAATATTGCATTTAATAAACAAGATTGCTCATTTTGTCTAATGGTTATGACTATGATACAGAGGGAACCAAGTCTGAACACAGGAACACTGCAGCTGGATAAACCATGTCTGGTCCCATCCTGCATCACAAAGTGAAGACGGTGCAACGTATGGTCTGTGGGAGTGATGACAAAAACTGACAAGACAATTACACTAACAGTTTAGTATTTACTTTTTATATCAACTTGCAATAGTGATGTTCATCTCACAACCGTATAAGCCACATTGAGATAATGATGTTACAATCTTTCATGTAACTAATATAAACAGTCCCAACACTGATATTATAAACTCCCTGTAAAAAAACTACAACTTTAGATATCTCGTTACCCCCAGTAAAATTGTACTTCAACATCAGAGAAATCTTTACACTGTAATGCACTCATCCTCTGAAAAATAATGAATGCCTTTTTCACTTCTCTACCCATTTACTTCAGGTACAATAAATATTTCACAAATAACCTAATGTCAAATACATTTCTAAAACAAAATAATAAACAAAATAATGGCTATAAAACATGGTTAAAATAAACAAAATAGATATAAATAACTATCTTTTTTAATGGTATTTACTTACTACACCTATTAATAAGGCAAAACACTTAATTAAGAATAACAATAATTCTCAGTGACATGAAATAATGACAATGATAAATAATGCAAAACGGTTAACTTTTAGAGCTTTTCACTGGAAATTAAAAATGTGATGCAGATATGATATAATCTATAATACAAGACTGAGCTCCATACATGCTCATCCCATCCAGTCATTATACACAATGCTGTTAAAATAAAGGAGTTCAATTGTCTCAAAATTTGAGTAAATAAAAAATTTACAGTACTATGAATTGATGTGAAACCCATTTTGATTCAATCAAGATCAATAAGTCAAACACAACACTAAACTAAATAATTTCATAAAATTACGGAATTAAATGTGTTAAGGCATATTAAAATTTATACAAAATGTGTATTAATTTGTCACTTTACATTCAATATCAGTATCACAATTTTATGTCACATGGGAATAAGAGTAAATATAAGATAAATTCTCTATGTATTATGAAGCATGACTGCCAAGATCTTTCCTTTAACATTAATGGGACATACATTTGAGAATACAGATGCATAAACTTCCCCCAACATTTCTATATAATATTTTCTTTGTGTTAATTATAGTGAAGTAGCAGGAGTTGCAACAGCAGAAGAGGCAAGTGGTGGGATGAGACCTCCCACTTCACTAATCTTTCAATTCCTTACACATCTTAAATTTGTGTTGCTATTGCTTCTTTTGTAAAACTACTTAAATATCCTACAATTATTTAGACCTGTCCTCCCGCTAACATGAAATTTTGCCTCCATCCAAACTTCCATCATACAAGAGCAGTCTTGAGTTAAAGACCTGTTTATTTTGATAAAACTGCTCACAATAACAAAGTCATGTTGAAGCATAATTACAGTGTTAGCATAAGTAGCTCTTATTTAGTAAAGCAATAATGTGTGATATTAGGGTTTAGCAACCTCCACTTTACTGGAAGTGGGCTTTATGTCAGGATAGAGGATGCTCAGAAGAAAGTGTGATACGTCATAGTTGGTCCAGTATGACGTGTGTGAAGTGATGGCCGAGATGTAACTGTTCTCCATGCTACCTTCACGCAGCACAAAATCTGTGCGATCCGACAAACCTAGGACAAGCAGTTTAACAACATCAGCAACAATACTAACGTGTTAATAATCAAGCATTTTATGGGAAGAAAAAGAAATTATTCAGGGTACTGTATAAGTTGTGTTGGTTAAAATGTTGATTATTATAAGCAAGGTTGACCAATATAAGAGCAAGATGTGTCAGTTAGCAGGCACAACATATATAAAAATGAGACATAAGACTGATTATGCATTATACAACATTTACAAAACAGCAAATACTCAAGAATATGGGAGCAGAGTGGCAGGGAGATGACCAATAATGAGTAACATTTATTTAACACTATCGCGCCCCAGGCATGCGCGCCACCAACTTAAGAGGTCACGCACCCGATGTGTGGGTGAGCATGTGGGCAAGTACGCGGCGACACTGAAATGTGTATACTCGTTTCAGTTTTCTCACCTTAATTCTCGTGCTACGTCGTTTGTTTTGGTATCATTGTGTTCGCAATAGAATTCCCTACAGGTGTATATGCATATAATGTCCAAAAGCCTGGCATGACTCCCAACAGCAAAGCCTAAAGTCGGCAAAAGTTACCTGTGAGCGCACGAAATCAGTAAAATGTGTATAATCGTTTCAGTTTTCTCACCTTAATTCTCGTGCTACGTCGTTCTTTTTGGTATTGTGTTTGCAATTAAATTCCCTACAAGTGTATATGCATATAATGTACAAAAGCCCAGCGTGCCTCCCTGCAGGAAAGCCTAAAGTTACCTGTAAATGAGCACCAATTGGCACACCGCAACCTAATGTGTATACTCGTTCAGTTTGATAACATCAATTTTCGTGTTACGTCTTTCATTTTGGTATCAAATTGTTCGCAATAAAAAAGATGCGTATTTTAAAACTAGTCCCATAATAATAGTGCAATAACTGGCATTTTAACAAATATTTTAATTCTGGAAGCTCATCATCACAAAATTATTTATATCTTTCCAGTGTTCTGACATAAATATTTGTGTTATATCTTTCATTTTGGTACCAAATTGTTCACAATGTAAAGGCACGCATTTTAAAACTAGTCCCAAAATAATAGCACAATAAGTAGAATTTTAACAAATATTTTAAAATTTTGACTAAAAACGTATTTACAGCATAATCTTTCAAGTGTTCTGACATCAAGTTTCATGTTACATCTTTATTTTGATATAAAATTGTGCGCACTCTAAAGGCGCTTATTTTGAAACTATCCCGAAGTCGATTGGATAAAAAATGAATTTAATACAAATATTTTTATAATGGACGCGAGCGCTGTCCACGGCTAAGACTCAAGAGAAAAAAAAATGGACGTGATCGGTGTCCAAAGCAAGCGATAGTGTTAATGTTATAATATGATAACTGTGGATTATCTTGAGATGTTATCTTGAGATGATTTCGGTGCTTAGTGTCCCCACGGCCCGGTCCTAGACCAGGTCTCCACCCCTAGGAAGCAGCCTGTAGCAGCTGTCTAACTCCCAGGTACCTATTTACTGCTAGGTAACAGGGGCATCAGGGTGAAAGAAACATTTTGCTCATTTGTCTTTGCCTCCACCGGGGATCGAACCCCGAACCTCAGAACTACGAATTTGAAGCGCTGTCCACCCAGCTGTCAGGCTCCCTACGGTAATGTGTAAGGTAATGGGACATGTGCTATGTATGGATAACATGTGATGCACAATATGTAGGGTGACAGATGTCATTTAATGTGTGCATCAAAATGTGTTAGTGTTGTTTATAAAATAATAGGATGTGCACAGAACAATAGGTAGGGCAATGCATTTAAACCCCTTATCAAAACACTGTTTAATAATGTGTTTGTTAATCCAAAGCTGTGCAGCTCATCTCATCCTCAGTCTTTGCTCGTTCAAGCTGTGGCCATCCATAAACGTGCATCCACATTACTGTATAATCAAGAAAGATACTTTCTTAAATATAAATTATTATTATTAAAACCAGTGTTGAATGTAATCAAACCCCCTCTTTCTCGATAAGCCCCTGGTGGCTCCCTGAAGCTATCTCACCGAGATGGCTCATAACTACTGTACTATTTCACATCAGTCGCAGAGTTTTGTTTGGCCCGCCATAGACAAAAGCCAGAACCTGGCTCTCTCACAGAGGCACAGATAGCAAGTGACACTCCATCATCTCTCCAGGAAAGCATCAAGAACCTCAATAGACCAAAATGAACCACTGCTGGGTATTAAGAGACCAAATTTACGAAACTGCCAAACGAACTCCCCAAAACATTGTAAACAATGTAAGAGAGACCCTTATGAAGAGTATAATGCAGTAGAGAGACAGAAACAGCAGTGTTAAATGTTGAAAACTGGAACTCCTCCAGTTGAAATCCCGCCAGCACAATAGTCAAATCTGCACATGCGCAGAGCATTGTCAGAGCAGGAAAACGTCATCCCCAGAACAGTGTAAACAGCAAAGTAAATGTTTTTTACTTTTTTTTTTAAGTATATTCAGTGCAGGGGAAAATATATAGAAACAACAGTGTTAAATGCTAAAAAACAGCTGGAATGTTATAATACATATAAATGAACTATTTGGAGATGTGTATAAAACACATGTGTGTGTATGAAACATTATTGGAACCGAACAGTTGGACAGATGTGCAAGCTCTCTCATTCACTTGGTTGTGGGCAAAGTCAGGAGAAGGTGGTCGTCACTTGTGTGACGAGTAGCGGTCTCCCACCCTAAAGCATCAGTTAATTCACCCAATGCCAGCTCAACACCAAGAGACAGTGGCATTGCAGCTGGGTTATGGCCACCAGAGGAAGAGAAAACAACACACACCAAGAGTCCCACACAAAGCCCAGCAAAATCAAAACCTGGGAGGGAACCAACTGGGATTTTCACCAGTTCACCAGGAACCCAAACCCAGTGAGCTGGGAAAGAACCAGATCCCTGGCTAGCAGACAAACAGGTCAGTTGGGAGCCCACACCAGCCAGTCATCAAGATAGGCCAAAAGAAGAACCCTCAACAAATGAAGCTGAGCCACAATGACTTGAGCCAAGAGAGTGAATACGTGTGAATCCAAACCGAGCCCAAATGGGAGAACTTGAAAGCTGTAAGTCTGCTGCTCTATCACAAAACCTAACCAAACTATGAACCTTGGATAGATAGAGACGTGCCAATGTGTGTCCCGGAGATCAGGGAAAGCATCCAAGTGCCCACTTCCAGTATAAGGTGGACCTGGGACAAGGTAATCATTAGGAACAAAGTGCAGGGAATGAACCGGGTCAGCCCCGAAAGGTTGAGGATGAAATGGAAGTCAAGCAAATCCCATTTGTGGACCAGGAAGAGGTGGGAAACCCACCAGAGTGATGTAGCCATTTCGACCACGCTGGAACCTGCCCACTCCAAGATGACCCAACGCAGATATGGAGAGGACGCCTGCCCAGAAGCATTTTTATTGCCCCCCCCCCCCCCCCCAAAAAAAAAAAAAAAAAAAAACAGAAGGGGTAAGGATTCAACCAACTCTACTGCAGGTTATACAAAACTACCGAAAACCCCCAAATCATGGGACCAGGAGCTGGCAAACTGAACGAGCTTTATCCCCCCCCCCCCTGCCTTGTCAAAGGCAAACCGCAAAAAGGCCAGAGCAACCCACAAAAAAAACAAAGAGGTTGATACCCTCTGAGAAGAGCACGCATGGGCTGACCAGACGGAGAAGGAATGGCCTTAGAAAGCGCTTGCTACCTAGCACCTGGATCCACAGATGCCTATTTCAACCCACAGCAGGCAATGCCCCAGCTCTACCAAACTGCCTCTAAGAATGAGAACGAAAACCTCAAAAACAGAAGAGGTCTGAAATAGACCGACAACTTGCAGCCGCCAAAGACAAACTGCGAAACCACCTCATCAGGAAAGAGGAGAGCAGGAAAGGGAAAGGCAGACAGCCAGAGCTCACACCAAATCCAAAGATTTGGCCGATAGCCTGTCGACACACGAGTTGTCCAATGAAGAACGTGGCCACTGCTTTCTGGAACATAGGAGCATACAACTTAGGGAGTGCAGCAGAGCAGAGGATACAGCTACAGCAGAGGTTAAAGACCCCTGCATGTGGCCATCCTCCAAGAACCAATCAGCATCAAGCTCAAGGAGGGTCAAGAAATGCACAACCAAACCCAAATGTAGATGGACATGAAGATCATCCACCACAACAGCCATTGACAACAACAAAACCTGGGTATGGAGCCACACGAGATCCACATCCTGAGAAAGAGCAGGAGCAAACGGGCAGTCATTGAAGGGTGAAAAACAAAGGCCCCCAGAAACATCTGCCGCATTGTCAACACCTCTCGCAACTTGAGCATGCGGGTACAACAAAAGCCACACCAAGTACCAAGGGAAAACAAAGGAGTATCTGCCAGCTAGGAAGACTCCAGAGCATCATAACACATCTAATCAAGAGAAGATGCAAACTCAAAAGAGGAAGGGTAATTCAACGAGTAGTAATTCAGGACTCGCAGGAAACCAATTAGTGAATTCAAATGTCAACTCACTTTTCACATCCTGGAGTGCAGAGAAAAGCTCCTGACTGCTGGCACCTGAATCAGCAGGCTTCTTGGTCCCTTTCATTAACCCCCACAGACTCCATGAGCTTGCTCCCCCTGCAACATAAGCTTACTTTAATACAAATTGGGCGCACACAGTACTTACAACTGAAGCAGCATTTCCACTTCCTATATTTTTGTCATGAAACACAGGTTTTTGTAATCCCCCTCCCCATACAACACTAAATAATAAATAAAGGATCACAATGTTTGCCATACTTCAGTATTGTAGTCACACATTATCTATTAATTATGTGTTCTTTCCTTTTCTCATGAGAATAGTGTTTGTTCAAACTTTTATAAAACTATTTCCCATTTTTCTTTCTATATACTGTACCAGCTTCTCTCCTACCTTTTATAGGTGTGCTGGGTACAGAGGAGACAGGAGTGTTGTTTCCAGAGTCTCCTCGTGATTTGTCCCCACCATCCTTTTCTTTGGACAATATTATTGGTTCAAGAGGCATCTCGTTGTATGGCATTTTATCCGTGGCATTGTAGGAATGTATCAGTACTGGAGCAATGTTGGAGTATTCTGGACACAGCAGAGGTTCAATTCTGAAAAATACAAAAACCATGGTTGAATATAAGGAAACGCCAATTTCTGGGTGAGCCCCAGTGGCTTCCTGAAGCTACGATATACTGGTATGGTACCAACTATTGGGTCGCATCAGCCGTGGCGTTCTATAGGCCTACAGAGGACCAAGGCCAGAATCTGGGACTTCTGCCAGTTCACCAGGAACCTGAACCCGGTGAGCTAGAAAAGAACCAGATCCCTGGTACTATGACATGCGGAGTGACTTGGGGCACATGGCAGCCATCAAGGCAGGCCAACATACAAACCCCTAACAAATGCAGCCAGGTCACAATGACCCACACTAACCTGGTAAACATGTGAGGGCCAGGTTGAAGCCAAAGGGAAGAACCCTGATGCACTAAACACGGTGCCTCATGACAAAGCCTAACCAGTCGCTAAACCCTGGAAGAATAGGGACATTCATCTATATTCATCATCTCAAGTATGCATCCTCAAGATCCAAGGACACCAACCAAGCTCTCCTCTGTGATAGCAGGTGAACCTGGGACAAAGTGGGTATGAGGAAGGTTAGGCAGGGAATGAAGATGTTCAGACCTAAGAGATCAAAGACATACTGGAGGTCTGCCAAGTCCTGTTTCGGGACCAAGAACAACCAGGAAATCCACTGAAGGGACAAGGTAAACTTGACCACACCCGAGGCCAACCATTCTGCAAGGTTCAGTCGCAATACTGGAGCCAACAGACCTGACCCTAAAAATGGGAGAGAGACTGATTAGCTTTACTGAAGACCCTAGGAAACAACCCAAAAAGTCCACAAATTGTCAGACCAGGAGCTGTCAAAACAGTCCAGATGACATCATCAAAGGGGTGAACCATGAAAAAAGGGCTGGTGTGAGCCCCGAGCAGAACCAAAATCCCCACCCAAACACACTGCTTCCCAACGGAGATAGAACCCTGAGCAAACACCTGAATAGTCAGGCCGCAAGAGAAAGCCACAGCTGAAACAACCCGAGACACGCCCTCCTTGGGAAAGCATGGAGGCGGCCACAAGTGTAAAAGGCAGGTATATGATAGGTACGTATACAACAGGTATACAGTACCTATCATATACCTGCCGATGATTCCGAGGATCAATGTCCCCGCAACCAGGTCTCTGACCAGGCCTCCTAGTTGGTGATCTGGTCAACCAGGCTATTTGATACACCTGCTAACAGTCTTACATATAAGTCACAACCTGGTTGATCAGGTATCCTCTGGAGGTGTTTATGAAGTTCTCCTTTGAACACTGAGAGGCCTGCCAGTTCTGCCCCTTATGTGTGGAAAAAAGACCCAATTATGTTTTGGCCCTTTGATACTTATAGAGTTCTCTCTCAGCATACCAATTGCACCTCTGCATTTCAATAAGGCTCTTTTCTATATCCTGATGCTTACTAAATGATAAGTGAAATTAAGTGATGTGGTGGAGGCTGACTCCATACACAGTTTCAAATGTAGATATGATAGAGCCCAGTAGGCTCAGGAATCTGTACACCAGTTGATTGACAGTTGAGAGGCAAGATCAGAGCCAAAGCTCAACCCCGGCAAGCACAACTATCTAAGTGCTGATTTCATGTGATGTTATTTCCGTGTGCTGATTCAGAACCAGTCCTAGTATTTTCCAAGTGTCAATTATTATGTATCTCTCCTGCCTGATCTCTAGGGAATACCGATTTAAAATTTTGAAGTGGTCCTAATAATTTACATGTTTTATTGAGTGAATTCTTGCAGTAGAAGATATTAGCATACTCTCCCGGTCAGCAATTTCTCCAGCTTTGAATGAGGCTTTTAGTGGGATCAATATTCCACCCTAGAGAGCACTAGTGTCTTTGTGGAGTATTATCATTGGTATGAAATCTCTTATTTGTAAGATTCTTGTTATCCACCCAATCATTTTCCTTGAAAGCTGTGGTAGCGACTTCATTGTGTTCTTTAAAAGGTAAAGCCTTCTGACATGGTTGCTCCTTGATCTTTTACATTGCATTTTCCACCAGATGCCTATCCCTGTTGTACTATTCCTGGGTCTGGTGAAGCCCAAACCCATGAAGACCATCTCTGAGCACCAGGAACAGAACCTCTCTGCTGGATAACCCAACTGAGGTGCTAGAAGGCAGTAGCTATGGCCATAAACTCCAAAGAGCAAGCCTCCACACGAAAAGGGACAAAAAGGAGGAGGTGGACTACAGGAAAAGATACCAAGCTAAATCTAAAGCCTGGGCAAGCATGGCCTGCCAACACACAAGACTGGCAAGAAAAAGTCTACCACCACCTTCTAAAGGAGGGTAGTTAGCAACCTGGGCACAGCTGCCAAAAATGGAACTGCATAAAACAGGGTAGCAACACTTGGGACTGAAGCCAAAACATCCAAACTGCTCTGGAACTGGTTAGAGAACAGCTCAGCCATAGCCCAGATATGCAAAACAGCCACTAAGTAGGGACAGAATAAATAGTTTTATCATGAATTGCAATATTATTAAATATTATTGCAGAGGTGCAATAAATAGTTTTAATACTGTAACACAGTAATTACAAACAGGAAGTCAACAAACGAAAGCAGTCATTATTTTAACATGATACATGCATGCAGAGGCAGCAATGCTTACCTATATGCCACTGGGTCAGCTGGATGAAAGATGTTGAGTAGACGCTTGCACAGTTTTTGAGGGATGATATCTGGGGTTGCTCCCTGTGATAGTTTTGTTCGCAGGGCCAAGAATACTGCTAGTGGGGAACCCAAACAGAAGAAATTTTCAATCTGCAATAAAAATAATGCTTTAAGTGTAAATGAAAAATCTCCTTTCTGAGCAAACCACATTGTCTCTCTCTTAAAAAAATATTGTCCAAAAAAATAGTGTCCCGTTCTTCCAATGATAAATGCAAAATCTTGCCTGACTAGTATGACCTTCAGTTTCTGAGGTACTGCAGTGAAAGTCTTTTCAAGCAGCTACCATCAGGCTACTAGCAGGGAAAGGTAAACACTGAAGAATCAAACTTAATCCAGCCTAGAATGACCTCAAGAAGGCTCATTCATTTGCACAAACAAAATACCTCCTCCAATTAATACAATACTTGAATTCAAAGAGATTGCCAAGGATTTCTCTTCTAAAACTGCAAGGTGGCAATTTGACCACAACCACAACCTACCACCAGATGTCACAATGTGCATACTGAAGAGAGGGAACCTTGGAACACTGTTACACCTTGCATTCTTGCTCAACTCTGCAGAGGTAGAAGGTAATTCGGAAGAAAAAGGGAAGAACTGGGAGTGAACATGTGCCTTGCTTAAAAAAGGAGCTTATAATCTATCCTTAAACCCCTTATTTCTAAGCTTAAACCACTCGGATGCACCCCAAGGGTAACATGACCTAAGAAAGCAACACAAAAGGGAGTACTTACACAAGCCTCAAGTGAAGCTGAAAGGTGCCGCAGGGGGATACAGAAACAGAGGCACACCAGATGTCCAAACACCGCATCTGAAAGATAGGTCTGTGAACAGCTGTGACACCTAGAAAAAAAGACAAACACCAAGACTCTGAATAAATACTGCAAGGCACCAACCTAAAATCAAGTGTTGAATATAATAAAACAATTTTCAGTAGCTCACTGAACTAAGCAATGGTACAACCATGCCTTGGAAAGATGCGTCAGGCCTCTTTGACTCTGACCTTTGCCTGCTGGGAACCAGGACCAAAATCTGTCATTCTCTACGAGAAGAAGGCAGCTTGAAGATCAGAGATCAACCCAAACTTAAGAAAAACACACCAGGAAGCACAAGCACAACAAAACAAGCAACTGGTTGAAGAAAATTAAGTACCAAGAGGAGACGAGGAAAACTATTATTGCTGCAGGTTAGACACTAACTGACATGCCCAACAGCCATCAGCTGGCAGCCCTGGTTACCCAAGATTCCTGCCAGTATGCACCCTCACTCGCAATTCCCCACCTAATTGAACTCCCTCCACCCCACAAAGAAGAAGTAAGCAAGGTGGGGACAAAAGCATACTGAAAGCCCACCAGATGAGGGGCATTTCATAACATTCAACACTTGATTTCTGAAGGTCCCCTGCCCTCGGCAGCTCCCCACTGTTGTAGTGACTAGCTGAGTTTTGAGACTGGATTGTAGACCTCACATACAAGGAGACCTCGCTCCTTGTGTGCGAGCAGCTGATGAAAAATTCAAGGGTGTCATTTACCGAAGGGCGTTATAAGAATTGGTTCATTACACCCAACAGGATCAGTTATTGAGATAGATTCCATTCCATATACTATATGTGTTAATGCATACCTTGATGTTCTTTTGATGTGATGATAAAGATCAATGTTCCAAAGGCCCAACCTTAAAACAAAGTCAAAGGAGTCTAAAATAGCATGTGAAACTCAAGATAACGAGCACGAATTTAATATGCAAGAGCTACTATGCATGGATGAAAGTCACATATAAGGCTGGCCACTTCTTGTAGTGCCGATTTCCGGCCTTGGCAGAAACCGTCCATCAGAACAGGCACCAGAGAAGAGGGTGAGGGTGGCAGATAACCAGAACTTCGGGGGGGAATGGGGGTTAATTACAATACGTTCATGGAAGGAGATACAGTACTAAAATTTTTGCAAGTCTGAAGTTTACAGGCAGTTCCCCTTAGTAAGTGGGCTGATCTTACATCCCAAATGATACTGATCTTACATACCAAATGATCCTATTGAGGTGTAATTACCTAAGTGTAGTTACAGGATGAGAGATACGCTCGTGGTGTCCCGTCTTCCCAGCACTCTTTGTCATATAACGCTTTGAAACTACTGATGGTCTTGGCCTCCACCACCTTCTCACCTAACTTGTTCCAATCGTCTACCACTCTGTTTGCGAAAGTGAATTTTCTTATATTTCTTCGGCATCTGTGTTTAGCTAGTTTATATCTATGACCTCTTGTTCTTAAAGTTCCAGGTCTCAGGAAATCTTCCCTATCGATTTTATCAATTCCTGTTACTATTTTGTATGTAGTGATGATATCACCTCTTTTTCTTCTGTCTTCCAGTTTTGGCATATTTAATGCCTCTAACCTCTCTTCATAGCTCTTGCCCTTCAGTTCTGGGAGCCACTTAGTAGCATGTCTTTGCACCTTTTCCAGTTTGTTGATATGCTTCTTAAGATATGGGCACCACACAACCGCTGCATATTCTAGCTTTGGCATAACAAAAGTCGTGAACAATTTCTTTAGTATATCGCTATCCATGTATTTAAAAGGAATTCTGAAGTTAGAAAGTGTAGCATAGGCTCCTCGCACAATATTCTTTATGTGGTCCTCAGGTGATAGTTTTCTATCTAGAACCACCTCTAGATCTCTTTCTTTATCAGAATTCTTTAAAGATTTCTCACATAATATATAGGTTGTGTGGGGTCTATGTTCTCCTATTCCACATTCCATAACATGGCATTTATTAACATTAAATTCCATTTGCCAAGTGGTGCTCCATATACTTATTTTGTCCAGGTCATCTTGAAGGGCATGACAATCATCTAAGTTTCTTATCCTTCCTATTATCTTAGCATCATAGGTGTGGTTGAGTTAAAGTGAAAAGGCATTCATTCTCAGTTGGTGGAAAAAGTCACAGAAGCCTGGCTTATCAGATATGCATCGGGATGCCAGTGCTGAAAATTAGGGAAGCTACAATAAAAAATGACATCCATCACATACGAATAATTCACACATGCACATAGGAGTTTTGATTCCCATATAAAATATGAATACACAGTATACGCATTCTCAAAGCTATGTCCCACGATAAGATCCCAAATAGTGAAAGGAAGGGTCAGCTCAAGAGAAAGAGAAACAGCCGTGCTAAATGCACAACCATCTCAACATAGAGAGAATTCAGCCAAGCCAAATTAGATTATGATCGAAAGACATGCAAAGATACAGCCCTCGTGCATATGAGGAACGTCCACCAAAGTACAAGCCCCACATAGAAAACAAAATATCTTAGGGTAAAGCAACTGTTTTACTGAACAATCAGTAGTACCTTGGTGATGTGGGAACAAATGTGGGGTGGGTTTACCAAGTACCACTGTTTACAGTTTGCCCTGCCATCTGGTGGTGAGTAGCAGTAGTGACCAGGTAATCAAGTAGCTGCTGTACAGTCTGCAAGTAGCAGAGTAAAGCTTGGAGGCAAATTTCAATTCAAATTCTGTTCAGAAAAGATTTGAGTATGTATATAATGTTCCAACTGACAATCATTTTTTTAGCCAAACTGAAAATTCTTGAGTGTCTTCTTGTGTCAGAGATGAAAAGCTACACCAATCTTATTTGGGTAGCATAGTGTTGTTGAGGAAGTAGAACATATTTCTAAGAAACCAACTGAGTGGGATTTGCTCAGAAAGCACTTCAACTTTACCAACCATCTAATAGTTCGAAAAACAATACTGCTGAAAAATCATGATCCTCACCTTGAAATTTAAGGATGGCTGACAACATTTCGAGTCATGTTGCTCAAGAAGTTCTTGCAAGTTTTTCTTGAACATTATTTGTGAAACATTTTTTAAGTCGCTGCTTTTATTCATATTTTCAATCTGAGGGGAAAAAAGAGATTTTGCATATAGCAGTATGAAAGAAGAATACCTGAACCAGGCCTTAAATATAAACTAATGAATTTATACCAAGATTTCATGTATTTGCACAGCTAAAAACATACTACTGTATATCTGAGAAAAAAGATAAGTGTACATTGCAATGTATCTTTCCAAGAAAGTTCCAATGGTTTCCTAAAGCTATTTTGCTGAGATGGCTTCTCACTACTGATTACATCAATCATAGGAGTCCTGTTTGGCCTACCAGCTGGAGGACGTCCCATCTGGTTCCGTTCCTGGTTCGGACTTGGCTGGGTCTTGTGTGTGACTCTCGGACTGCTTCCTTGTCTCTCCTTTCGGAGTTGCTGCTGCAGTTCCGCCTTCGCCTGTTTCTGGAGGGCTCCCAGATCACTCGCTGGTTGCTCAAACAGCTGTGCGGGAGTCTGAACTTTGCTGTGCTGGTTTACCTGCCGAGTCAGGTTTGGCTTCAGCGGCAGTTCTGGTTCCTTCAGGGATCTCCCTTCCACCTCTCTCGCGATCGTTGTGTTTGGCCTCTGGGGCTTTATGTCGGTTGCTGTATCGCCGGCTTCCTCTTCAGGTTTTTTTTTTGATTCAATACCTTGGCACATACCCGACCTCTCGTTCGATGTGTTCATGGAGTGCTCGCCAGACCGACCAGGGGCAGTGGGCTCCACCCTTCTGTCGGGCACACAGCACATTGCGGAAGTTTGCGGCTGTTTGGCTGTCACTTGAGAGGGGGTGCGGGTCACTTGGGGTTCGACAATCCAGGCTCCATTCGGACTGTACTCCGGTGGTCGTAGTACGTCGTGTATGTCTGATTGAAGCCAACTCTTTCAGTTGACTCTGCCAGACATACAGGCTCCCAGATGTGGACCTCTTCGCTTTGGCGTGGTCCCGACATCTTCCCATGTACAGTATGTGGCTTTCTTTCCCGACAGCGAGGCCATCATGGTGGACGCTTTTCGAGGTCGAGGTGAGGTTACCTGTACTTCTTCCTCCCAGTCCAGCTGTTACTTCGGGTCCTGGCTTGGTTGGAGACGTACCAGGGGAGAGTAGTCATGTTGGCCCCTTGGTGGCCAGCCCAGCCTTGGTTTCTGGTGCTGCTTGCTTGATGTCCGAACCCATGATGGTTTCCACAGCTCCACCTCTTCCAGCAGATCGAACTGGTCCCAGTATGTGGCTGGTTCGATCTTTTCCTCCGATTTTCACGTCTGGTGTTTCTGACGCTGGGAAATCGGGGGTCTATCACAATTTGTATGGTGATCAGGGGGCTTTGTTGATGGTGTCCCACCTGTGAGCTTCGTCTCGGCAACAGTATGAAGTTTCCTGGAGTTCTCTCTGCCATTTTCTCTTCCTTCAAAGGATGTCCTCTATTTCGGATCGGGTTGTTTTGTTCTCTCTCTTGGCTTTGTCAGGACCGTCTTTTGATGCCAAATATTGTCGCTTTGTATCGTGTAGTGTTGGCAGAGCTGTTTTTGCTTGCGTTCAGGGTAAATGCTACCTCTGCTCCTTTCTGCAAGCTTTCTTGTGTGGTGTTTCATCTCTGGCCTGCTCATGTGCCGCCTGAGCCGTCCTGGTCTTTGGACCGGGTGCTCTCTTTTCTCCTTTGGTTCCGGATTATTATTCTAAAGCTCTTTTCCTATTGCCATTAGCTTCTGGGGGTCAAGTCAGAGAGCTTCATGCTCTCCTTGGGCGCAGAGGTTTCTGCTCCTTTGGTCCTGGCGGTAGGTTTGTTCATATGCAGCCATCTCCTCCTTTTCTGGCGAAGAATGAGTCGGAGGCATTCTGGAGGTGTCCTTGGGTCATTGATGCTTGGTTGGTCAGGTCGGGGTGCATCATGTGCTGTGTCCGATTGCAGCTCTTTGCCATTATCTAAGCACCATGACTTCTGTGGATGGGGGATGCCCTTTGGGTTGATCCAGTTTTCCTCATTCCCTGTTCCAGGGTTTGGGTCTCCCAGGTTGTCCGCAGGATTATTCGTTCCAGCCAGCCTGTGTTCTATCCTCATGTCCATAATAACATTTCTTGGGCTGACATTCGAGCACAGGGATTTTGGAGGTCGAACAGGGTCCTGCCGCACGTTACTTGGTCAACATTACGGGCCCTAGTAGGGCATGTGTCACTTTGGGTCTTGGGTTGCAGCCAGTTGTCTCGACTTCGAGTTGAGATGCCTACCGGCTAAATCCCTCTTTTCACTTTTCTTTGGTTAAGTAGCTCCGGGGTTAAGTATCCCCACAGAAAATCCACCTACAGTATTAAACAAAAACAGCGTTGAATGTAATGAAACATTTTCTGAAAATGATTTTCATTTTCATTTCAGCTCCCCCCTCTCGGGGAGGGGGGAGCTGCGCAGACGGCAGCGCGGCCACGGGTGACGTCACACTAGTTTGCTCGTTTTTGTTTGGGGAGTTCTATCCACTTGTTAGGCTTTTGGTCGCAATATTTTCACCAGAATAGGGGTTTGTTTTGGGATGCTTACCTTTCTGGGTGCCTGACCCGGTCGATGACAGACATAGAATGCTTCCAACCACTCGGGGGCTTCTATAGGCCATTGATCCCCTTGCCCCTCTGAGGGGGGCCAGGTTCTGGCCGTGGTCCCCGATAGGCCCACAAACTCCATACACATGACTGATGCCAAAGTCTGACATTAGCATATCAGCCTGTATAGATCCGGGGTAGCCGTAGGGTCTCCCCCAGAAAAAAAATTGTTCTGAAATTTTGTCTTCTTTGGTAATTAGCATTCAGGAAGCACAAAAATCTAAGTACAGTAATGTAATGAAACATTTTCTGAAAATGATTTTCAGACATAGAATGCTTCCAACCACTCGGGGGCTTCTATAGGCCATTGATCCCCTTGCCCCTCTGAGGGGGGCCAGGTTCTGGCCGTGGTCCCCGATAGGCCCACAAACTCCATACTCTCACCAGAACTCCATACTCTCTCGCAATATTTTCACCAGAATAGGGGTTTGTTTTGGGATGCTTACCTTTCTGGGTGCCTGACCCGGTCGATGACAGACATAGAATGCTTCCAACCACTCGGGGGCTTCTATAGGCCATTGATCCCCTTGCCCCTCTGAGGGGGGCCAGGTTCTGGCCGTGGTCCCCGATAGGCCCACAAACTCCATACACATGACTGATGCCAAAGTCTGACATTAGCATATCAGCCTGTATAGATCCGGGGTAGCCGTAGGGTCTCCCCCAGAAAAAAAATTGTTCTGAAATTTTGTCTTCTTTGGTAATTAGCATTCAGGAAGCACAAAAATCTAAGTACAGTAATGTAATGAAACATTTTCTGAAAATGATTTTCATTTTCATTTCAGCTCCCCCCTCTCGGGGAGGGGGGAGCTGCGCAGACGGCAGCGCGGCCACGGGTGACGTCACACTAGTTTGCTCGTTTTTGTTTGGGGAGTTCTATCCACTTGTTAGGCTTTTGGTAGCAATATTTTCACCAGAATAGGGGTTTGTTTTGGGATGCTTACCTTTCTGGGTGCCTGACCCGGTCGATGACAGACATAGAATGCTTCCAACCACTCGGGGGCTTCTATAGGCCATTGATCCCCTTGCCCCTCTGAGGGGGGCCAGGTTCTGGCCGTGGTCCCCGATAGGCCCACAAACTCCATACACATGACTGATGCCAAAGTCTGACATTAGCATATCAGCCTGTATAGATCCGGGGTAGCCGTAGGGTCTCCCCCAGAAAAAAAATTGTTCTGAAATTTTGTCTTCTTTGGTAATTAGCATTCAGGAAGCACAAAAATCTAAGTACAGTAAAAATGTTTCTACTTCTTGTGGTTTAGCTGTAGTGGGCTGGAGAAGTTGCGTGTTTTTGGGTAGAAATATGGTGAGGTGCCGCATGAGAATAACTCTGTTGATTTATTTTCATTGTTCCTCACTTTGGTAATTTAGTTTTTTCATTCTAACAGGTTGCAATGATGTGTCAATGGTGGTGTTTAACTTTGAAATTATAAGTACATACATATTTTATTCAGTATGAATAATTTAACTAAAATATGTACTCTATATGAGAAAACAGGAATATGCCGACACTAACCAAAGACTGCACAAGTTGCCGATCAAACTGCTGAGCAGGATTCCAGCCAGTTACTATGTCATATGTGATGACACAGCCCAATGAGTGAGCCACCATTGACACCTTGCCTCCATTAGCCTCAAAATAAGGGTTTCGTTGTGTGAACATTGTATACAGACGGTTCATCTCTCCAGTCAAGCCAGTAATTATCTGAAAATAGAGCAAAGTAACATTAGTTTAATATTCACAATAGTAGTGCTCATTATCTATATCTGTAATGCCATATCAGAAATTTCTACAATTGAATTTTTAACAAAGTTACTTATTTCAACACATTAAAATAAAAGCAGTGAATGTAATGAAGCATCAATTTCTGGGTGAGCCCCAAAGGCTCCTTGAAGCAATTACACTAATTCAGTGCCATACTACTAGGTACCATCAGTTGCACGAGTTCTTATTGGCCTACAAGGGTCCACGAGGCAGAACCTGGGCCCTCAGAGGTGCAGGAAACAGTGGCACTATGAACTCCTTACATTTAAAGTACAGAAATTCATGTCTGCCACTACCAGGGGAAGCCCTCAAAGCCAGCAAGATAAAAAGAGAACTCCCCCAATTATGAAAAACAACCAAAATTTTCTGTAACTATCACAAACAGGCCAGGTCAGTCGGCCCCACCAACACCAGTTCTTATGATGATAGAAGGACCCCGACGGCCTGCGGAAGGGTGAATGTGTCAGGGAAACTGTGGGAGGGTGGGTGTGTCAGGGAGCCTCCAGGGCTCACCCAAAAATTGCCATTTCATTACATTCAGCACTGGCTTTCTGGGGAAAACCCCTTGAGACTCCCTGAAGCTAACTATCCCGAGAAGATAAACGGGCACTTACCAGGGTCGACCTACCAGGATGGTGACAGGGAACCGCACTCATAAGAGGCAAGGGCCTGAGGAGAGGCCTAGGCTTGTGCACACAGGAGAGAACCTCTCCCAAGGAAAATCTGAGAGGAAATAAAATCCAAAGAACCCAAGGGAACCCGGAAATGCACCTGGGAGAAGCCCAAACCACCACACATGCCAGTGGAAGAAAAAGCGCCAACAGGCAACCAGAAAACAGACGCACACAATTACAAATATATCAACACAAACACATACCTACATACAGAGAAACAGCAGAAGTAGGATAAAACCTCCAGTAGGAGGTGACAAGTACCCCAAAAATGCTAGCCTACACAGCCACATGTAAACCAAATGCAGTGCCGCCCTGGTGGCAAATGGGAAGAAGCTCTCGGGAAAATGGCCACCCTATAGAAAGCAGCCAAAAGGCTATGCGCCTGGCATAAATGCACCAAAACACACCCGCAAATGTGGGAAAACCCCCACAGCCGGGAAGGAAGGGATGAACACCCCACCTGGAAGGCACAACGACCCAACACCGCAAGTGGGGCAGAGCCATCCTCCACGCCCTCTACCCCTGGAGAAAAGACAGAGTCCAGCGGGAAAGGCAGGAAATACAGGGGGGTCTGCTGGAAAGACCCAGAAGCCTTGGCAAGAGGAGCAGGCTCAATTGCCTCTGTCCCCGACCCAGATGGGGCTGCCCCCAAAGCCACCCGAGTCTCACACCAATGAAACTGCCCTGCAAGCGTCAGGGAGCCAGGAGCACGGGAGAGAGATCTTGAGATGATTTCGGGGCTTTAGTGTCCCCACCACCCCCAGGAAGCAGCCCGTGACAGCTGACTAACACCCAGGTACCTATTTTACTGCTAGTTAACAGGGGCATAGGGTGAAAGAAACTCTACCCATTGTTTCTCGCCGGCGCCCGGGATCAAACTCAGGACCACAGGATCACAAGTCCAGTGTGCTGTCCGCTTGGCCGACCAGCTCCTGACCGGAAGAGGGAGGGGAGAATGGCAAACACAGACCGACACCAAAACGGGGCAGCCCCAGGGCATCCGGGCGAGCAATCTATATCTCGCATTCAATGCCGAAGCTGCCTGGACCCAAGATCAAAATCAGGGGGACTGTGTAAATTGGAGCACCACTCGTAGGGTTCCGGGTCAAGGTGTCATTGACCCATCAGGCAAGATGACGGAGGCAAAAATAGTGAATGTCACCTTGAGACAAAGACACAGAGCAAACTTCTAACTCGACGAGGCGGAAACCAGAGGATGCATCCATGAGTTCAAAGAGCCCCAATGTGGTTTTCTAGGGCCCTTAGGCTGACTGCTAAAGGAATCCCAGGCAAGGTACTGCTAACCAGTTGGTCCAAACTACAAAGAAAAAACAACTAAAGCTGAACCCCGGCGATGTGTACAATCACGAGGGAATAGTGGAGGACCACCAAAATAACAGAGGATGGACAATAACCGAGAGTCAGACCGCCCACCAGGAAAAAAAAAAGCACAACATTCTCAGGAGGAATAGAACCAGCCGATGTGAGCAATAGGAGACAAGCTGCACAGTAACTTGTGCCCATACCAGCTACAATACCACCACCTACCCAAGGCCAAACAGTGGCTATGAAAACCCCAACTAACCCCCAAGGGCGGGCAATTGCCAAGAAGCAAAAAATCCCTACGCAAGTAGTTCCCAAACGACTTGTGGAAAGCAACTCCCATACTTCAAGGGCAGCACTTACAGGGCACCTAGGGAAGGCCCTAGGTGCATGCAGCCCCAGTACTTCATAATTTACTCCTGGCTCACACACCACAACACAGAAAAGAACAGAACTCACAGTCAGGCGCCAGAGTCGAACAACTGCCAACTAGCACAACAGCCTCAGAACCGAGGTTGGATAGCCGGAAGGAAGGGTCTGTTGACCCGCTCTTTTCCCTCCCAGGGGTTATCTTGAGGTTATCTTGAGATGATTTCGGGGCTTTTTTTTTAGTGTCCCCGCGGCCCGGTCCTCGACCAGGCCTCCACCCCCAGGAAGCAGCCCGTGACAGCTGACTAACATCCAGGTACCTATTTTACTGCTAGGTAACAGGGGCATAGGGTGAAAGAAACTCTGCCCATTGTTTCTCGCCGGCGCCTGGGATCGAACCCAGGACCACAGGATCACAAGTCCAGCGTGCTGTCCGCTCGGCCGACCGGCTCCCCTCCCGGGAGGGGAGGTGCTGTGCAGACAGGCAGCACGGCGGCAGATGTAACGTCATGCTTGTTTGCTTGTTTTTAGATTGGAGAGTTCTGCTTAGCAGTTCGGGTTTCAGTAGCAATGTTTTACCAGTTGGGGTCTGTTTTGGGACGCCCACCTTCCTGGGTGCCTAATCTGGTCAATAGCAGACATAGAATGTTTCCAACCACATGGCCAACTTTCTATAGGCCATTGTTCTTTGTGCCTCTCTGAAGAGGCCTGATTCTGGCTCAAGGTCCCCAATAGGCATTAGATCTCCATTCGAAAGACTTGCCACAGTCTAATACCTGTACTTGCATATCAGCCCAGTAAGCTCCAGGAAACTGGAGGGGCGCTCTATGTAAAACAATGACTGAATACTGTATATAGGCCTACAATGTAATATATGCACATACTGCACATCTTGAGGTTATCTTGAGGTGATTTTGGGGCTTAGTGTCCCCGCGGCACGGTCCTCAACCAGGCCTCCTTCTTCCTACACACCCCCAGGAAGCTGCCCGTAGCAGCTATCTAACTCCCAGGTACCTATTTACTGCTAGGTAACAGTGCATGAGGGTGAAAGAAACTCTGCCTATTTGTCTCCGCCTCCACCGGATATCGAACCCGGAACCTAAGGACTACGAATCCGAAGCACTGTCCACTCAGCTGCCAGGCCCTACATAGATCTGTTCTTGGCACAGCTTAAAAGAAATGTCTTGCAACCCACTCCTTTGTTGCTATTCAGTAAGGTAACATCATCCAAAAATATATACAAATACCAACAGAAAACACCAAATTGTGATTTGACTATGGCTGGTTGCTGGTGATACAAGACATCCTCTTTACATTAAGTAATTAAAACAACTGCAGATTTTTTTATGAATCTAGGTTAACTAAATTATATTCATATAGATGAATTATACAAATATTTCCATTATTTGTATAAAAAACCAGAAGGTAAAAACTAGAATCAGTATGATAAGTGCATTACCCCTGGATCAACATGTCATGATGGCCACAATTAAAGTTTTATGGGAGCAATTACTTGGCAATTTGTTGAAGTATGCAAATTTGTGCTAATGTTTACATCCTAGAGAATCAACACATAAAATACAGCATATACACAGTACTGCAACTGGTAAATTATAGGTTCACAAACCTCCTCCCTATAAAGGGGACTGTTGTAGTACATTATGTCCATAAATGAAGCATTTAGCATCTGTCGTATGTTGAGAATCTTCTGGGGCGTAATGGAGTCAATAACTCCAGCGTCTAACACCAAGGACGACCGCCACTCTACAGGAAAAAATTCCACCGTGTTGCTTGTTTTGACAATGGAAGGGTAGTACTTGTGCTTTAGATAACTAATATTCTCCCTCAACCTGTAAGCAAAAAAATATTTTTGATTTGCGATCACGCTATTGGAATAGGTCACCAGAAAGGTAGGACAAACCAAAATAGACAACAGAAACGTAAAATAAAATCTAGCGTTGAATGTAATGAAATGCTAATTTCTGTGTGAGCTAGTGGCTCCCTGAAGCTAATATTACTGATAGTGTGCCAATTACTAGTTCCCATCAGCCATGGAGTTTTATAGACATATTGGGGACCAGCACCAGAACCTGACCCCCCTCACAGAGGCACAGGGAGCAGTGGTATTTATTTATTTATTTATTTATTTATTTATGCCATCACTGGGTAGGGCACCCGGAAAGTCAACAAGAATAAAAAGCAGACCACTGCTGGCTTAAATAAGAGACCACAACCTCATGGAAGGCTAAAAGAACTCTCACAACTATGTAAATACGCTATCAAAATCTTTTCTAACCATCGCAAGCTCATTCACCCCACCGCCACCACTTGTTTGGTGGGAGGAGGGAGGTTGCTCAAGGTTAGATTGCTATATCACATTCCGTTCAATGGTAGGTGTAACCAACCCCTAGACAACCTGGAGAGAGAGAGAGAGAACGGGTGTGAGGGAGCCACTTGGGCAACCCCCCCCCCCACCCCACATGCCATGAGAGAACACCCAAAAGGCCCCACTGTCAAGAAGTAAAAAAACCAGCATTGAATGTAATGAAACCCCATTTTCTGGGTGAGACCCAGAGGCTCCCTGGAGCTATAATGGGCTGATATGTATATATATTAGACCGTGGTAACAGTCAATCTATGGAGTTCTAGGCCTTCCTGGGACCACAAGCCAGAACCTGGTCCCCCTCAAAGAGGCACGAGGAGCAATGGCCTATAGACACCCGCCCTGTAGTTGGAAGCAGTCTATGTCTGCCATCTACCAGCTCAGGCACCCAGAAAAGTAGAAACCCCAAAACAAACTACAGCTGGTTAAAAATTGCAAACTGAAAGCCGAACGAGCAAGCAGAAATCCCTAATAAGAAAACAGGCAAACAAGCATGACGTCACCACAGCCGCCCCTGTCTGTGCAGCTTCCCCCTTCCCGTGAGGGGGAAAGGGAGCTGCCGACATGTTCTTTGCCAGATAAGTAGAAGACAGCTACAACCGAACAAACCTACTACCAGGACTGAAAGAGCAGAAACCTAAGCTGAAGGGGCCACCACAAACCTAGGAGAGAAGAGAAAAGAGAGCACCCGGTCCAAGGACCAGGACGGCTCAGTACACATAATGAACCTACACAATTTTATTTTATTTGTATTTTTATTGATATCGCCTTCTTTTTCAAATAGGTAACCCCAAGAATTGTGGGAAAATATTTTCATTTCAGTCAAGATGCATTACCTGTCACTAAATCACGAATATGAATAATTTTTCACAAGATTATTTTCAAAAGGAACATGAGGTCACGTTGCATGATGCATTAGCACATGAAGCCTTGGCTGTGTGCTGTAAATGTCTGCCTTCTGCTTTGAACATCATAACTAGCATTGTGTTCGCTGATATCTGAACCTTGCACATAGTTTTCATTTCAGTCAAGATCATCTATGACACTATCACAAAACAATTACAGTTACTTATTTTACTCATTATTAAATAGTGCTGTGGCCCCGACCTGCTCAGCCGTGCTGTGAGCTCCTGCTCCAAACAAAAGATGCCACACTGATCATGATACTTTAAGACATTGGTGCCGTCTAGAGTGGAATATTGTTGCACAATAACAGCCTTATTCAAAGCTGGAGAAATTGCTGCCCTGGATTGTGTGCAAAGATTTTTTACTGCTAGAATCCGCTCAATAAAACATCTAAATTATTGGGACTGCCTTAAAAGTCCAAATATATATTCCCTAGAGCACAGGAGGAAGCGGTACATAATAATTTATACTTGCAAAATATTAGAAAGATTAGTTCTAAAGCTGCATACAGAAATAACACCACACGAGACCACAAGGCATGGAAGAATTGGTAAAGTAGCCCCACTGAAAAACAGAGGTGCAAGAGGTATGCTGAGAGAGAACTCAATCAACATCAAAGGACCAAGGCTTTTCAATACTCTTCCCCCTACACATGAGGCATAACTGGCCAACCTCTCAGCTTTCTAAAGAGAACTCGACAAGCACCTTCAAAAGATTACGAGATGAAAAGAAAAGAAATGCACACATACGAGTCACAGGATTAAGCTGGCTGTGACTCGTTCGTCAGACTGCAAGCAGCAGCATTGAACAGTCTGTTTGATTGACCAGCAACCAGGAGGCCTGATAAGAGACTGTGCTACAGGGACAATGATCCTCAACATCTCCAACAGGTTGAGGATCTAATGCAGCTTAGAAAAGCAGAAATCCAGGCATGGGAATTGCTTGTGAAGAACCCATGCCTCCTAATGCAGCTTAGAAACACACTGTTGCAAGAGGCATGAGCAACATTCCATATAAACAAGCATGTGCAAACCTGCACAAACAAAAAGTCATAGATTCAAACTAAAGAAACAAAGTTGCCAAAAAATTTTAAAATTCACTTTTGCAAATAGCAGCACGGTAGATGGCTGGAACAAGTTAAGCAATGTGGTGGTGAATGCCAAAACCATCAGTAATTTCAAAACTTCACATGACAAAGTGTACTGGGAAGACAGGACACCACGAGCGTAGCTCTCCTGTAACTACATTTAGGTAAAAACCCTCACTCACCACCCATCTATTAAATCTAGCAGCAGTCTGAAAAATCATGCACTACCTAAAGCTAGGCATCCTCCCACAGAAGACCGGCCTCTCAGATACCAACAAACCCCACCATGGTAGGTAACCTTGTCATGACAGGAATATTGCTAGCGGGCACCTAGCGAAGGCAACACCTAGCTTGAAGAAAATCGTTCAAGAAGTCCACACAACAAGGGAAGTGAAAAATTACACACACATAAAGCAGTTATATATAAAATTGAACAATAAGCAAGCAAAATGGTCCTATAGGACAATGTTGCAAGGGTTGCTTCCACTTTTCTGAAAATCAAGACTCAAAGAGCTGAGAAGTAAACCAGAGTGCATCAGGATTAAGACCGAGACCACATGGTAACCAGCAGCTGTTGTTGACCCCCTGGCTGCAAGGGGGGGTCAGCAGCTGTTGTTGACCCCCTGGCTGCAGGGGGGGTAAACAGCAGCTGTGGTTCGCTCTGTAACTAGAAGGAATGGGTTGCCTGCTGGAATGTCTATTTTCTATATTTTGATTTACTTTATGCAATACTATTTTAGGGAAAATTTTCCCCCATTTTTATTTTACTTGCTGTCATCTGTATTGGTTTATCCTATCTTTCTGGTGGCCCATTCCTTTGGTTAGTGATATCGAATCCTATTCTCCTCGCACCTCTGTGAGGGGGACCAAGTTTAAGCTCTGATCTCCAATAGGCTATTTAAGGCTTGCAAGGGTCTGGTGTGAATAGATTTGTGTGGGTCTAACCAGGACCAAGCAACAGGAAGCAATTGATGGAGCTCTACCAGAAATACTATACAGTATCAAGCAATCATCTACCAAGATTATCATCTACTTTTTTATTATATTTTAAAATTTTAAGGGGTGATCATCCCTCATTTTACCTGTCCATTTATCATTATCTGGCTTAACATTTGCGTAAACAATAATCAAGCAAGCAAGCAATTAACAAATCTAATACGTTAGCTTACGCAGTAGTGTTCTTGATGATCCGTCCGCGCTCCATTTTCTGCCCAATGCCATGTATGACAAACACGATGTGGTTAATATCTGGAGGCTTGTCACTTGATGTAGCATCAATGCTGTAGCCACGGTTTAGCTTGTAGCCAGCTGGGAGAGAAGATCCGACTTTAAAGTCTATAGACAACTTAATCTTCACCAAATGTGGCAAGTAACAACACTGGTCTATACTTGACAGGAGAAAGGAAGAGAGGGAAAGTGGAGAAGAGAGGGAGTGACTGGGGGGAAAAAAGGAAGGTTGAGGATGAGAAGGGAAAAAGGAGGGATGATGGGAGAAGGGAAAAGGGCAAGAGGAGAAAATAAAAGCAGAAAGAAGGGACGAGGATGAGAGCGGGAGAAAGATACTGTAGTGGAAAGGAAAGAACTGAAATGAAAGCAGAAAGAAAACAGAGGGAAGAGATATAGAGAGATAAAGGGAAGAGGAGGATATAGGATGATAGAGGAAGAGGGAGGAGAAGAAAAGAGGAAGAGAAAGGGGGCAGGAGGAGGAGAAAGGGGGTAGGAAAATAAAAGGGGACAGGAGGAGAAAAGGGGCAGGAGGAGGATAAAAGGGATAGGAGGATAAAAGGGACAGGATAAAAGGAGCAGAATAAAAGGGGCAGGAGGATAAAAGGGACAGTAGGATAAAGGGGAACAGGATGGGGGAAAAGGGGCAGGAGCAGCAAAGGAGGAGAAAAGGGGCAAGAGGAGAAGAGGGGCAGAAGGAGGCAGGAAGAATACGATGAGGAGGAAGAGGAAGGAGGAGAAGCAAGAGGGAGGAGGAGAGAAAGGAAAGGACAAACAGGAAAAGAGAAGAGAGTGAAAGGAATGGAAAGGAATGCAGAGGAAGGGAAAGGTGAGGGAAAAGGGGGAGGAGAGGGGAGGGGAGGGAAAGAAAAGAGAGGGAAGGAAAGGAGAGGAAAGGAGAGATAAGGGCAGGAGAGATAAGGGCAGGAGAGATAAGGGCAGGAGAGATAAGGAGATTAGAGATAAGGAGATTAGAGATAAGGAGATTAGAGATAAGGAGATTAGAGATAAGGAGATTAGAGATAAGGAGATTAGAGATAAGGAGATTAGAGATAAGGAGATTAGAGATAAGGAGATTAGAGATAAGGAGATTAGAGATAAGGAGATTAGAGATAAGGAGATTAGAGATAAGGAGATTAGAGATAAGGAGATTAGAGATAAGGAGATTAGAGATAAGGAGATTAGAGATAAGGAGAGGAGAGATAAGGAGAGGAGAGATAAGGAGAGGAGAGATAAGGAGAGGAGAGATAAGGAGAGGAGAGATAAGGAGAGGAGAGATAAGGAGAGGAGAGATAAGGAGAGGAGAGATAAGGAGAGGAGAGATAAGGAGAGGAGAGATAAGGAGAGGAGAGATAAGGAGAGGAGAGAAGGAGAGGAAAGGAGAAAGGAGAGGAGAGATAAGGAGAGGAGAGATAAGGAGAGGAAAGGAAAGGAGAGGAAAGGAGAGGAGAGGAGAGGAGAAAGGAGAGGAGAGGAGAAAGGAGAGGAGAGGAGAAAGGAGAGAAGAGGAGAGGAGAGAAGACCGAAGGAGAACTAGGGAGGACTGGAGGAAAAGGAGAGAAAATTGAAAAAGAAGGGCACATTTCGACAGATCACACTGTTTTCGCTACAGAAATCTCTGCCTATTTGTGGGTCAAAGCAAATCACAACACAATATTCCAAGTAAGAAGTCAGAGGGAGTGACTATGTGGACAAGTTCTTGCAAGAAGTGCCAGACCAACTCGGTTGTAGTGGATATATGCGGGCTGCTGCAAGCAACAGCCTGTTGGACCAAGTTATCACAAGTCAATCCTGGCCCCAGGCTGGGGCTCAGGGAGTAAAACCTCCTGAAACCCTCTCCAGGTATGCTCCAGGTAAGAGAAGGATGGATAAGTGGTGTGGAGAAGAGAGCAGTAAGAGGGGAGGCAAGAGAGGAGGAGGTGCGGAAGGAAGGAGAGGAGGAGGTGGGGGAAAGGAAGAGAAGGTGGGGGAAGGCAGCAGAGGAGGAGGTGGTGGGGGAGGCAGGAGAGGAGGAGGAGGCAGGAAAAGAGGAGGTGGTGGGGGAGACAGGGGAGGAAGAGAAGGTGGGGGAAGGCAGGAGAGGAGGTAGGGGGGGAGTCAGGAGAGGAGGATGGGGGGGGGGGCTGAGGCAGGAGAGGAGGAGGGAGAGGCAGAGGCAGGAATGGAGTAGGAAGGGGGGAAGGCAGAGGCAGGAGAGGAGTAGGAGGAAGAATAGAGGAGGAGAGGGAATGAGTAAAGGAAGAAGGGAGGAGAGGGTGAGAGCATGAATAGGATGAAGTTGAAGATTTTTTAGACTCTGAAGTACTGTACAGTACAGTATTACAATAATAAAAATATATGTACTAGTATATTCAAAGATTGAATCTTATTCTTCACATTCTCTTATGATTGGTCATAATACAAATAATTCTACAGATTTCTTTATACAAAACTCACTCTTCTGGAAGCCTAATTTCTTCCCAACAGATCGCATAAGTCGTGAGGGCGTAGCATCTGACGTGAGGTAAACTTCCGAAGCATTGAACCAGTCTACTTCGCCCTCGGGGAGTGACAAGCAATGGGCTACTGCAAAGAAATATCACAGAAAAATAACAAATCAATTAATTACTGAGTAATTATACAGTACTACTCCCACACCATTCCTGACACCCTTTCCACTATTTATTGTCCATGTCATCCAGTCTTGTCAACTTTTATCAAACAGTAATGACTATACAGATGGAATAAAATATAATTCTTCTAATTACAGTAAATTCAGATAGAGTAATTAATTTTTAATTTTGTTTATTGTATCTAAACAATAAACAGTATTTCAAATATAATTATCCAAAGTATTTCCCCAACATTTATTAATGGAAAAGTTTGTCAATGTCAGAAAATAAAGCTCCCTATAATACACCATATGTGGCAGCGTTTCCTGGGTACAGTTTTTAAGCTGGTATTGATTAAAATACAAAATTTAGAAGAATACCTTTAGCACTCACATCTGGCAACATCAAATATGGTCCAGGTAATAGAGTTGGGTTTGTTCTTGACTCACAATTGAGAATTCCAGGTTTCAATCCCGGGCTGGACAGAAATGGCTGGGTGCATTTCCTATGATCTAATGTGCCTGTTCATCTAGCACTACGTAGGTACTCATGAGTTAGTCAGCTTGTTGTGGAGCTGCATCTTGGGCAGGGTCAGTAATACAACCTTAGAGGGGGGGGGGGCCCTCAATATAAGCCTAACATGTATGAATACACTCTGAATGTCTGTCCCCCGACACAATAAATTATCATTATTATTAATATTCAGGAATATCCCTCATAAAACTAGCCCTGATAAGGGTGAAGCTAACCTTCCTTAGTACAGTCATCGACCCTCTGAGAAGACAGCAAGTGGCCTCTGAAGTGTGTTAGATGTTCCAACTCAATCCTGTCGGAAAGAAGTTCTTCTACAGGTGCCCAGGTGCCATCATAGAACCATGTTCCTCGACTTATCATAAAAATTTCACCTGCAAACAATAAAAGATAGATGACTAAGTCTTAAAATTTATGATTAAACTATCAACTGAACAATTCTAACAAGATTTTAACCAAAATAAGATGCCTAAGACAGTACCAAAAAAAAAATCCAATTATGGTTTAAATTACAGCTCACCTTGCCAGTAAATACTTTCACACTTGCGCTGCTTCACATCAACCTCATAAAGCCCTCCGCGAACTACGATTCTCTCTACGACTTGAGACTTTCCTTCCCGGACCTCCTTCGGAGACAAACTACCAGCTCCCAGATTTCCTAATGTTGAGTCTTCAGACCCACCCGACGTGGCATCTTGCAATAAGTCTCGATACTTCCACTCAATGCGAAGAGAGTCATAACCAATAAATGGAGTCCATTTTTTATCTGCTTCCACTTTATAAAACCATCGAACCTCCTCTGGCCCCAAGTCATCGACCGTTTCATCACCATATGGTGTAGTTGGCTGTCCAGTTGCTATGCCCAAATAACTTGGTTCTAAATTCTCCATTGATCCATTGTAGCTGTCATTGTACTGGTAGTCTCCATAATAATAATCTTCATATAGGTTTGGATCACAGCTTTCAATATAGTTTACATTGAACTGGAAATTATTTGTGTTCTGAGAAAATGCCTGAGCCTGATCATAGCTGCTGTACTGTTGCTGGGCTGTTGGATATTCCATGCCACTAAACTGAATCTGGTTTTGATAGTGTAAGTTTTCTTGCATCTGAATTCCCGCAGCCATTCGGCCATTTACAATCTGCGATCCACACTGATTTCCTCGCAACATGCCAATGCTTCCTGCTTGGGTCATCTGTTGTGATGCTGCATGCATCTGTTGTGATGCTGCATGCATCTGTTGTGATGCTGCATGAATCTGTAGTGGATACCCCGAAGTCTGACTTTCTGTTGGATCCCAGCTCAACCCCAGCTGAGCTGTGCCGAGACGCTCCTGCATGGGCGGCTGTGACGAGAAGGATAAAGATGTCGGCTGTTCCTGAGACTGTAAGGAGCCTTGCAAGCTGGATGCAAGCTGTGCTCCTCCCAAGAGTGTTTGCACCGGTGTCTGAGAACCCACACCAGTTAAAGTATTCTCACCCAGTCTTGAAGCGAGAGGAGATGAACCAAGCTGCACAGCTCCCAGTGTGGACCTTATGGGCGAGGACGTCTGCGACTGTCTGGGTGTCATATGTGGCGACTGTAGGCCTAGGCTACCGAGGTGATCAGGAGAAAATTGATGATGCGTGGAAGAGATGTGGGTTGTCGCCAGGAGAGATTGGGTTTTATGAGCCATTCCTGATGATCCATAATTCAGCTGTTCCTGGCTCTGCTGATGAAAGAACTGTTGTTGATGTTGCTGCTGCTGTTGCTGTTGCAGCTGCTGTTGTTGCTGCTGCTGGAGCTGCTGTTGTTGCTGGAGCTGCTGTTGTTGCTGCAGCTGCTGTTGTTGTTGCAGCTGCTGTAGCTGCTGCAACTGTTGTAGCTGCCGTTGCTGCATATTTTGCACTGGCTCCTGCAACCGTTGTGGAGAGTAGACTTCTTGGCCATGGTCGCTATTCCTCCCGGCATAATTTCGTTCTTGGGGATCCACCTGCTGGCCTGTGGTGGAGAGACTGAGCTGATTGAGTTGGTGTGAGAGAATATGGGCGTAGTGGAGGTGGTGGCCGCCCCCGCTGCTGTGGTCCATGGTCAACCATCACATTGCTCACCACACACTCGCCAACTCTCTGATCAATGCCACCATTCTTTTCCTAGGACCAACTGCCTTTCTCAACTTTATCTTGTATTAACCTGGAACATACGTTACTACACTCAATAAAATATTTTTATTTTGCATTTTGACTATTATATTAAATAATCGTTTGTTTCATTTTAGATAATTGGACTGCATTAATATAATGATTAAGTACTGTCAACGTTTACGTACTGAAATTCTAATGGTTTATTTTAACATGTCATAACAATTTTTGTTAGATTTATTTACTAGAACTAATTTTATAATTAAAATCACCTACACGGTGACTACTGTTAATGGTTTTAATATTACCTGGGAAAAAAAATCCCACTGAAGTGTCAAGATATATGGATACTGCAATAATGATAAATCTTTAAAATATATTGCCAGTTATTAAAACATCGTGCTAAGAAAAAATGGCTTTATAAAATAAGCATTTTTATTATAATATATATAATTCTGCGGGAAAAATATACAATATTGTATAGCTTTCTACGCACTATCCCTTTAAAGCCTAACTGTAGTAAATAATTATACTACGAATCCCTTACGTGTAATGTTATAATTGTTCCCAGATTTTGCTAGTGCAGCCTAATAGATCATTTATTTTTTTGTATTTATTTATATATATTATATACAAGAAGGTACGTTAACTTTATGAGTACGTGGCATTGATGTTTTTACATTCTCTGAGCCCATTATCTGCCTCTGTAACCCTTTCCACTACCGCCCACAAGATGGGTATGGGGTGCATAATAAATGAACTCAACTAAAACTTGCAAAACCACTAACATATATAGCGTTTCGGACAGATACTTAATCTAACATAATTTTAAATAGTTAATTTGTAACGAAATTTGAAGAATATTAATAGGTACATTGTAATAAAATTTGAAGTATATTAATAGGTATATTGTAGTAAAATTCGAGGATTATAACAGGTACATTGTAGCACAATTAAAAAAAAAAAAAATTGTAACTCATCTTGTATGTATGTACTTTTACCTGACCTATGTTGACTTCAGTGCTACACAAGCAGGAGGTGCTGCCAATCACCGGGAAGCAGCCAAGTCACGCAAATACAGAGACCTTGATCACCACTACAATTTTGTCCCCATTGCCTCAGAGACACTTGGTGCCTGGGATAAAAGTGCTGCTACTTTTTTGAAGGAGTTGAGGTCCAAGCTAATTGAAACAACTAGAGACCCCTAAAGCAGCCAGTTTTCTCTTTCAGAGCCTTAGTGTGGCGATCCAGAGAGGAAATGGTCACTGCATCCATGGTTCCTGGCCGCCATCTGAGGAACTGGAGGAGCTCTACAACTTGTGACAAGTAGCCTTGTACCCTGCATGTAACCAATGTTGTAACCCTTTTTGTGTAGTGAAATTTACAAATAAAGTTAGATATATATACACACATACCAAAAGAATAGGGATGGTAGAAGAAAATATCAGTGTTCAGTGAGGATCCACAAGGTCTTCTCTGAGTATTCTTTATTTTCTTCTCCGAGGCTATGGGTCCCTACACTTGCTCCAGAGGTTTACCTGAATAAACATTTGTTTTGTTATTTTACAATTTGAGGATTATTAATAGGTACACTGTACTTTAGTACTTCACTGTAGTAAAATTTGCGTTCAACATAACAACTATAATAAAAGTTGATAGCAGTGAGGTTGCTAGGCTTAAGCACATATATTGAGGACGTGGGCAGCACAAAAATCAAATCAAATCAAATGTTTATTCAGGTAAAAGTACCTACAAACAAGATGACTTACAAACATAATGTTGGAGTTCTAGATAGAGCTAGTACATACTATGCCTAAAGTCACTAATACGCACAGGGTTTCAGGCAAGGTCTTGGAAAAAACATTTAGACTAACACTTAATACTAATTGAGATCAAAACGTAAATCGAGTTGAAAAGGGGAAAACGGGGAAAAAATAAAAAAAATGTCGGAAATCGGTTGTTAAACAAGTTGGTCAACAAACTGTATTGTTTGAAAATAGTAGGACATGGGTTGACATTTACGGGGTAAGGTAGGTTACATTGAGTTTATTAGGTAGTACTTAGTTTTTCTCTTAAACTAGTTGAGATAGGTACAGTCATTGACATGCTTGGGAAGGTCATTCCACATTCTTGGTTCCTTGATATGTAGAGCATTTCTAGTTTGGTTAAGACGCACTCTTGGAATATCACATAGGTATTTGTTTCTGGTGAGGTGCCCATGAGTTCTGTTACAACTGTCTAGGAAGCGTTTAAGGTCAGGATTGGCATTACGGTTCAAAGTTTTAAATATATAGAGTACACATGAGAGGATGTGCAATGACTAAATATCTAACATATTCAAAGATTTAAGTAAAGGTACAGAGTGCTGTCTAGGGTCAGAATTTTACATTGTTCTAATAGCAGATTTGTGCTGAGTAATACAATACAATACAATACAATTTTATTTAGGTAAGGTACATACATACAATAAATATTTACAAGGATTGTTTAACTTATAGGTAGAGCTAGTACATACAATGCCTAAAGCCACTATTACGCAAAGCGTTTCGGGCATGATAAACTTAAATGACAAGCTTAATACTAATTGAGCATAATGAGTAGATGAAAACAAGAAATGAAAACATAGATGAAAAAGCAGCACAAATACAATTATGTCGACAAACACCGCTCTTTAAAGAAAAAAACAGACATTGGTTGACAATAGAAGGGTAAGGTAGGTTACAGGGAATATATTAGGTATAGCTTCGCTTTTAACTTAAACTGGTTGAGAGAGGTACAGTCTTTAACATGGTTGGGAAGGTCATTCCACATTCTGGGCCCCTTGATTTGTAGAGCATTTCTAGTTTGATTAAGTCGTACTCTAGGAATATCAAAACTGTATTTATTTCTGGTGTGATGCTCATGGGTTCTGATACAACCTTCTATGAAGCTTTTGAGATCAGGATCGGCATTATAGTTTAGCGTTTTATATATGTATAATACACATGAGAGAATGTGCAGTGACTTAATGTCTAACATATTCAAAGATTTAAGTAGGGGTACCGAGTGGTGTCTGGGGCCAGAATTGGATATTGTCCTAATAGCAGCTTTGTGTTGAGTAATTAGAGGACGTAAGTGATTTTGGGTAGTAGAGCCCCAAGCACAAATACCATAGTTGAGATATGGATAGATAAGGGAGTAATAGAGAGTCACCAGGGCAGGGCGTGGTACATAATATCTGATCTTAGAAAGAATGCCCACAGTTTTTGAAACTTTTTTTGATATGTTTAGAATGTGTCCCTGGAAATTAAGCTTGTGGTCAATGAGAATGCCAAGGAATTAGAGGACGTAAATGATATTGGGTAGTAGAACCCCAAGCACAAATACCATAATTGAGATAAGAATATATGAGAGAGCAAGTAATTATCAAAGAAGGCACCAAGCGTGGAAGGCTATGTAGCACCAAGGATATATGAGAGAGTAATAGATCGTCACCAGGGCAGGGCGAGGTACATAATATCTGATCTAAGAAAGAATGCTAAAAGTTTTAGAAACTGCTTTTGCTATATTTTGAATGTGGCCCAAGAAATTCAGCTTGTTATCGATGCAAATTCCTAGGAATTAACCATCTACTTTCTTACTAATTTGGATATTGTTTATTCTTAGATTAATTTGATCTGAGGATTTATTACCAAACAAAATATAGAAGGTTTTGTCAATGTTAAGAGTGAGTTTGTTAGCAGTTACCCAAAGCCGAGCTTTATTTAGTTCAGTATTCACTGTATTATTCAGAGTAGGAGGGTTAGGACTGGAGAAAATGAAGGTTGTGTCAGTTTCAGTTTAAATCATTTATTATGCACCCCATACCCATGCTGTGGGCGGTAGTGGAAAGGGTTACAGAGGCACATAATGGGCTCAGGGACTGAACCCCACAATTCATTTAGCTAAGCAAGTTACAATCTTGGTGAACTAGTTACAAAATTCAGTATAAGTCGTCACATCAACAATGGGTTCGAGATCGACCACAAGTACAGTTTCTAAATTAAGCAACTGACATGTGGATTACTCACTGGTGACACTGGTGACCTCACCAGTGATGAGGTCAAAAGGAATCTGTTGGAGCTGAATATAACAAAGGTTGTTGGGCCTGACAGAAATCTCACCGTGGATATTAAAAGAAGGTGCAGAAGCACTAAGTGTGCCACTCTCTATGGTGTATAAAAGGTCACTGGATACAGGAGACCTTCCGGAAAGCTGGAAGACAGCTAATGTAGTCCCAATATACAAAAAGAGTGACAGGCAAGAGGCGCTGAACTACAGGCCAGTTTCCCTAATTTGTATACCATGCAAGGTGATGGAGAAGATCGCGAGGAAAAGGTTTGTAGAGTATCTGGAGAAAAATAACTTTGTAACACACCACCAGCATGAGTTCAGAGAGGGCAAATCATGCCTCACAGGTTTCATAGAATTCTATAACCAAGCAACAAAAAATAGGCAAAAAAGGGAAGGGTGAGCAGACTGCATTTTCTTGGACTGTCAGAAAGCCTTTAACACAGTACCCCCATAAAAGGCTGTTACAAAAGTTGGAGCAACAGGCAGGCATGAAAGGTAAGGTGCTCCAGTGGATAAGGGAGTATCTAAGCAACAGGAAACAGGGAGTAACTGTGAGGGGGGGGGAGACATCAGAATGGCGAGATGTCACCAGCGCAGTCCCGCAGGACTCAGTACTTGGACCCATCCTGTTTTTAATACATGTAAACGATCTTCCAGAGGGTATACACTCATTCCTCTCAATGTTTGCTGATGATGCAAAAATTATGAGAAGAATCAAGACGGATGAAGATAGACAGAGACTACAGGACGACCTGGACAAACTGGAGGAATGGTCTAGAAAATGGCGACTAAAGTTTAACTCAGGAAAGTGTTAAGTAATGAAATTAGACGAAGGGAACAGAAGGCTGAACACAATTAAGGTACCATCTGGAAGGTGAAATCCTGCAAGAGTCAAATAGAGAGAAAGATCTGGGGGTTGCTATC